CAGGAGCCCATCTTCTCTGTTTCTTGTGAATTATCTAATGCACAAAACAACTATTAATAACTTATAATTTATGTAGTTCTACTGTGTTATATTCATATGTCCATCTAAGTGTATACAATTTCAAAAATGCCTCGGGACTTTGGATCTGGCCCTAATGGACATAGGAACCTAGGTTCCATCTTAAATGCCTAAATCACTTTTGAAAATGACACTTAAGCTCCCAAGTCATGTAGGCATTTTAGAATATTTTACCCAGTATCGATTATATAATATGGAATTGTATATCTATTTATATACATCTATTATATATCTGACAGTCCTGTTTTGTAGATTATAATATGTATGATATGATTGTGACCATATGTATATGTATAATGTGGTGGTTATATGTGTATACAGCTATTACTATAGATCTTAAAACTTGATACCATACCCACACACATTTATACTTATTTCATTCATACAGAAAGCTGTACAGATAATTTACAGATAGCAATAATGCATAGGCTGACATTCTGGTATGTAAAAGTGTATATGTATAGTCTCACATTCAGATTTATATACCTACATCAGACATTCAAATAATTTATATATTATAGATGGGGCTGATAGCTTTACCTATTATTAAGGTTGTCTGACACTTCACATTATAAGACTGTTTTCAGTTTTCTACAACTCTGACACACCTTAACTGTCTGAACTGAAATTTTCCACGCTGGGTGTCTACCTTGGGTGGAATTTTTTGAAAAGTTTTTTTGCCAAAATGGTTCAGTCATTTCTGAGAACAAGGCTAGGGGGAAATGCATTTTGCAATGTTTAAAAAATTTTGGTGACCTTTTCTTGAAAAGCTCTAGCATTTCCATATTTTGGAACAGAGATTTACAGTTTGGCACCAGGGTAGCCTTTGTGTTAGGTATGTACCTTTTCCTGTTCCTAAGAAAATCCATTGAAAAATTAGTCAGGTTATAAATTTGTGAAAAAATCAGTGTGCCCATGCTCAGTAGTCACATCTTAGAGTTTAACTGCTAAATTCTATGAAGATTCTGTGCATACTGACTATACTCCATCCTAGCCGCTCTGGACTCAGGTGGGGCCAGGCACTTGAACTAAGAACAGGGAAACTGTCTCTCCTGTGTTCTGAATGACCCCCCCTGCTGGCCCCAGGCAAGGTGAAGGAGGAAGCTGTTTGACTTTAATGCAGAAGAGATAAAACCCAGAAGGGGGAGATGGTAGAAGTATATTGGGACAAAGAGACTGATGAGACTGGGTCTGGAAAAGAGAGGGAAGAAGAGAGAAAGTGTGATTGGGAGTTAGAGAAGAGGAGGCTGAGACTTGGTGGGAAAGGGGACTGGAAGCTGTGGGGAAGAGTAATCTGTGACTGAGTGGCCAACGAGACTGGGAGCTGAGGAATGGGGGAGAGGGTGAGATTGGTTGGGCAAGGACACCTGGACTGGGGAAGAGAGGGGGGAGAGAGAGAGAGCGTGTGTGTGTGTGTGCGCGTGTGCACAGGCGGAACAGGGAAGAGACAGACTGGAGTAGGTGCTGGGAAGGAGGAACTGGGTTGGCTGTACAAGGAGACTAGAGACAAGGATTGTGTGTTTGGGAGCTGGGATTGGCTGGGCAAGGAGCCAGTGGATGAGGAGTGGGGGTGGGATGGTTGAACTGAGACTGGCTTGGCAAGAAGACTCGACTGGGAGTGGGCAAAAGAGATCCACTCAGATGGGAAGCCTGGAGTGGGAAACTAGAACTGTCTGGGCAAAGAGATTGGGGCTGAGATGAGAAGCCTTAGGCGTGGAGATTGGGACTGGGCATGCAATAAGAATGGGACTGGGACAATGAGTCAAAGATGAGGAAGAGACAGGACTGGGATGGGACAGAGGGGGTAAAGCTTGGAGGGGAACAAGCAGGAAGGTCTGTGCCCATTAGAGCACACTCTCCTTTAGAGCCTGGAATGGAACCCGGGTTTCCTGAGGTTCACAATTCCTCTGCTGTCAGCAAGTATCCAGGAAACCCACTAGTAGAGTGACCCATCCCTCTCTAGCACTGGTCAACAAAGAGAACGAAAACCTACTACTGCTATCAGTTAGTCCCTTGGCTCAAGTAGCAGAAGTCTGTGCAATGGGGAAAAAAAAGTTCCAGTCATCCTGTTGATGAACCATGTAGGTTTCACTATGACACCACATGAAGGAATGAAGCCTAACACTCTCAAGTTAGGATATGCCAGAAGTAAGGCTGCTTGTACAAACTTAGTTGACTCCCTTGTACTCCCAGTCTTTAATTACATGATCACATACTATTTTTTCCATAGGACTTCTATTTTTTCATTTAGTTCACAGATAGACTTGCTCTGGGGATGAATCAGGGTTGTATAATGGAGGAAACTCTTGTCAGTGGCAACAGATGAAGCAGGGGTGCTAAAGTAGAAATGAGTGTCATGAATGAGGCAAGAGACCGTAGGAAGAAGGAAGGATGGTCTCATGGTTAATACTACCCTGGAGAATGGGATCAGGATGGATTAAAAATCTGGGTTTTTTAAATTAATACAATATTTACATGTATTTAAATCAAAATTTTAAATTTAAACTAAATAGTTAGTTATTTAAATAAACCCTTTCAAAATTTAATTTGAAATTGACAACCATTGTTAAGCCCTGAAAATAACATACTTTATTAAAATAATTTAAAGTCAAACCACTGAACTACTGGAAGTCACCGGCAAAGCACCTGAAAAAGCACCAGGTTTTGTGGAGTGCTAACCCAGCTTTTGACAACAGTAGCCTCTTCTGCAGGTGCACGGGAAGTAATATTTCTTCATTTCATTTTATTCAGTTCATTTAGTCAGTTAAATGGCTATAGTTCATTCAAAGTTGAGAAACCAATTGGGATTTAAAAATGTATGAAACCTTGTTTTCTCTACAATTTGTGAATAAAAACTAGGTGTGAGCGGATGAGATCTATTAGTTCTAAAATCTTGAAGGACATAGTGACCAGAAATATTCAGTTGAACATACTAAATATAGAGAATACTTCCTTTATTTAATAAATCAGTTAGCAAAACATGTTCAGATAAACTTTTTGATACACATTTTTTCTTACATTTCCAGCACATTTGAGGTAATTTTATTTAATACAAAAATTAAATACAGTTTTTGTGCATTTTAATTTAATTTGAATTCTATCCACATGTAGCTTGATAAAAATGACAAGTAAGAAATTAATCATTCAGTAAATAAGAAATGCATCATTAACCATTTTCTAAAATAATAAAAAATAAGAATCTTAATAAATGTAAATTAAGCTATATGATTGCCTAAATAAATGTGTATGGATCTATTGTATCCTCATAGTTAGCAGAAAGAAACACAATATGTAGTAGAAAGGCTAAATGTAGCTGCAAATCAGCATGTTTTAACAGTTACCAACCATTGAGAATAAACCCTGAACTGGAGTCTATCTTTACCTGTGCCACAGAGTTCCTAGCTGACTCTAGGTAAGTCACTAAACCCAAACTTTTCAGAGGTTTCCACTAAATGTGTTATTTTCTGAGTACCTAACTAAAGACCTGGGTCTGATTTGCCTAAGTAGTGATCACTCAGAGCTGCAAATGAGGTCAATAGAAGCTGTGCTTTGAACATATGAAGTGCTATATAATGATAAGTACTCTGTAAAATCAGCTCCTTTGTGTCTCAAATTAGGCACCCAAAATTAGTGGAAACTTTTTATCTTAAATGCTCTGTGCCTCAGTTCCCCATCTGTAAAATGGGGATAATAATCCTCCCTCATCTCAAGTGTTATTGTATTTTGAAAATAAATTCATTAATGTTTGTGCAGCATTTAGATACTATAGTGATTAGCATCATAGAAAAGTCAATGAGGAGGTTAATAATTCTGTTTTCACAACATGGTCTGAGTTGTGTGCAATAAATAAGGCATGTGTTTAACAATGAGAAAACAAAATATTGAATAGCTGTTCATTAAGTGAGCACTGACTATCCTTTGCACTAAATGAGCAAAGGTCCTGTGGAAAAAATAGTATGTGACCATTTAGTTGAAGACTTGGGTTGAACAAGAAGCCTTAATTCTGGTATTTACTAACTTTTGAGTGCTTGACTTTGCAATCATAATAATGGTCTTTTAACCTAGTTTTTGTGTTTGTGACATATTACACATTAATTTTTACACCCTCTAGAACTCTCTGTATAACTATATGTATGTATAAAGCAGGTATAGAATTGTGTGTGAGAATGAATATATGCTTATTTATATACTAGTATAATTGTCTGCCTCTACACTTCTAGGTAGATGTGTATGTGCTTGGGGATGTGTGTATACAATATTTACATACACTCAACTGTAGGGGGCGGTTTAACATCCTCATGCTTCTTGGGTCTAAAAAACCCACAGCACTGAGCCTCAGAGCCCAGGCCAACTGACTTGGGCTTGTGAGGCTCAGGCTTTGGGGCTAAAAATAGCAGTGTCGCTGCTCAGTGACCCAAGCCTCGGGCTGAGTCCTAGAGCCTGGGCTCGGAGCTGAAGGGCTACTTTGCCCTTTTATAGCCCTGCAGCTGAAATCCCAGGAGCCTGTCAGCTGACAGGGGCCCGACCTGGGGGTTTCATTGCCATAAGACGCGCTGGAAAGCTGGGTTTGTGGGATCCAGGCTTGTGGACTTGGCATGGCCAAGCCTGTGCTTGAGCATCCCTTCCAGACTGGGTTTCCAGTTGCTGGCTCCCAGCCCTGCTGGACTGAGGTCCAGACTGCAAAATGACAGGACTGAGACCCCAGTCACTGCGGGACTCAGGGGCTGACCCTCCCCGCAGGCTCCTAAGACCCCGGGCCTGAGTGACTCTGCGGGCCTGAGTCTGAGTGTGTGTGGACAGGAAAGCCTGAAGCAAACGTTGACGGGGGCGGGCTTGCACCCAGCGCCTGCGGCAGGCGCCTGCCCCCTCGCGCGGGCTCTGGTGGTGGGGAGGCGGCGGCGGCGGCAGCCCCCAGGGCGGCTGGCGGGCATGCGCGAGCGCCCCACTAACATGGCGGCGGCGGCGTGAATCCCGGCGGCGGGGGCTGCGCGCTACTTGACAGACCCACGAGCCGCTGGTGGCGCGCGAGGAAGCGGGCGGCTCCTCCACCCCCCCCCCTCCGGTCCCCAGCCCGGTGAGTGGCGGCGGCTTGGCGGTGCCCTGGGTTGCGGGGAGGAAGCGAGAGACACCCCAGGACTGGCCGGGGACGGGGGTGGAGAAGCGGGGCAGCTGCCCCCTTGTTCCCCCGGCTCCTGGGCGGGGGCAGCGGCTGGGGGACGCGTGGGGCTGCGCCGCCTGCAGCGGTCGCCGGTGGAGACGGTGGGTCGGGCTGCGTCTTTTCTCTCCTCGGGCTCCACAGCCGCCTCCCGGCCTCTCCCCGCTGCCCCCCATCGCTGCCCCCCCCCGGGCTCGGCGGCGCTTCTCGGGGCAGGTATTGGCGCTGGCCCGGCTGCGCCCCGCGCGCGTGTATGTGTGTGTGGGGGTCTGTCCCTGGTGTGTTGTGCGGGGAGTAGGTGCCCCCAGCCCGGGCAGGGGCTTTGCTGCTGCCGCTTCTTGCTCAGGGCATCGGTGCGCGCCCCCCCAGTCCTCGGAGGGAAAACGGGAGGCAGGGGGATGTGGGGCGCGGGGGGGGGGGAGGGTGTCTGTAAATCGTCCCGAACAGTCGGGGGCAGGGCTCGAGGGGAGCCGGGGATCTCTTCCCGCCCCCTGCACCCTGGATCGTGCTCCTGCAGCCCCCTAGGGCTTGGGCGAAGCGGCATTGGCCAGCCCGAGCCCGCAGGCTTGAGGGGTAAAAGCTGCAGAGCCGGCTGGTGAGGAGGGACTGAAGTCCAGCGGGTGCGGAGGCTCCATCCCAGCCTCTTCTCTCCCAGCCCAAGTCCAGGGGCGAAGGGGGTAAAAGAGCAGCCGCGAGGAGGGGGATACGCTACCTACCCCCAGTTCAGTCAGCGGCCGCCCGCTAGCTCGCGGCTTTCCCGGGGCTTGAGCTCCCTGTCCCGCCTAGCCCTGCTCCTGGGGCCGCAGCCGCGAAGGCAGCGCTGCATCCTTGGCACTGCTCGTCGCACTCAGCCCTGCTTGAGGGCGGCAGGGGCAGAGCGGGAGAGTGCCCAAGCAGCCGCTGCTGCTCCCTTGGCTGGTGCCCCGTTATCTGTGCATCTACCTGTCCCTGAGCCAGGGGATCAGCGCTGAGAAATGCCTGGAGCGTCTCCTCCCCGAGCCAAGCTGCTTGCTCTCTACCGTGCGCACAGCCCCGTTTGTTGCGGGGCCCCCAGGATCGCCTAGGTGCGGGTGTGAGCGTTTGACAGGAGCTGTGGCTAGGACACACCTCCCTGTGCTGGAGGGGTGTATTCTCCTCCTTCCGGGCAGCGGCGGCGCCTAAATGCACTTGCGGGGACCGCTGCTGCGCTCGATCTAGGGCAGGAGCTTCACCGAGCGGATGGGATCGGGCGCATTGGAGGAGCGGGTCCAACAGATCTGCACTTGCATCCCTCATTAGTGAATTTATACCCTCGTCAGTAAGGCAGAGCTCCAGCGAAAGTGAACGGGAGTTTTGCCTGAGGAAGGGCTTGGCCTGAAATGGGGCGGTGGGAGGGGAGAGTGTTGCACGGAGCGGGCTCCTGCCGTAGCGCAGTCTTAGCCAGGCTGGCGGGTTCCTTCTCCAGCCGGAGAGAAGTGCCGGGCAGTAGGAATAAGGTTTCCTTGTTGCTCACTGTATGTGTGGTTAGCAAGAGACTAGTCAATGCCTCTCTGTTCAAGAAAAGCCCATGATGGTCCTGAGCCGTAGATAACTGTGTTTTATGTTTTTCCCTTCTGAATGTGTATGGCAGTATGTTTATTTTTCAAACATCACTCCTTAGAGCCAGTGAAAACCTGTCTAATTTTGTATGACCACGAAATGAAGTACTCGAATAATTTTTAAAATGTGTGTTTCTTGAACCTGTGTTCACCTGAAAATGTTAAAACGATAGCGAAAATGCCCAAAAAAACAAAGAATAAAACCTCTAATCAAAACACCTTTACAAATGTGTTTGTTGCTTTTCAAAAATGGGTCATACTGTGATCATTTACTCAATAGATCACTGTTCAGACTGGCAGAATGCAGAGTATAAAGCTTTAGGGGTTGGGGATCACTCATACTACACTTGGAAAATATGCCATGTTAAAACATGCATAAAGTTCAGCTTAAAATTAATTTATGCCGTACATACAAGTGATTGCAGAGTGAGTTAGTATGGGTTTATTGTATAAGGGCTTGTTTTTCAGAGATAACTTTCTTTGGGGATATTGTATATGATTTTTGACAAAGAATGAAATATTCGGTTGCAAATTTCATAAAAAATAAATCCTTATCTGTCAGCCACTGTCTGTAGCCATTGGGGCAAATTGCAGAACAGATTGCAGTGGCATAGTAATTAAGTGGAACCGTATTTTATTAAAGCTAAATTTCATGCTCAGTTAAACTTTAGGAATAAAAAAGCACTTTCATGTGTTTTTCTTTCCTAAATAGTTACTTATTGTAATTTAAAATATGTTAATACCTTTCTTCTTCCCACAGTCATTTAATTCTCCTCTTTCCGATTAATCAGCTATAAAGGACTGCAAAAATAATTAAACAGCTTTATAACCTAGGGATTATAACAAATAGGAGGAGTAATATTTTGTCTGGATACGTAAATATTTTGGTGAGGTAATAATTCATCTTAAAAATTATTTTAACCTCATTGTTAGCTCTTGGTAATCCTAAAATTAATCGAACAAATCTGATGATTAAGTGAAGAAAACCCTTATATTTTATAGCTTGATAATGGCTTTTCAAAACACACCTGAAATGCCAACATTTCTTCAATAATAATTTTAAGTACAATCTTAACTGAATATGAGATCTTTAGTATTTTTTTTTCCTGTCAGATATTTCAGTTTTAAATTAATTTAGAGCTTCTCAAACTCTTTTATAGGATGGAACATATTTTAGTAGTTTGTCTCACGGACAACAACCCTACCATTTGTAATCACTTAAAGTCACTGTGGTAACTGGAGCAACCGCTTACATGGAAAAAGTAATGTTAGGAAAGCTTTAATGTCTTTCTAGATGTTTTTAAAGCAGTTTAACAGCAGGAAATAAGTAGGAGAGCCAGCACCATGTGGGAAACCAGTACACTCTGGTCCACCAGCAAGTGCTCCACAGACCACCAGTAGCCTAGTAACCACTGAGTTATCTCTGCATTAGCAGTGCATTCTGAAAATATATTTGTACAATCAAATTATGTATTTATTAACAAGAAGAGCTAATTTTGTGAGTAGTGCTTAATATTTACTGTACTGTCAGGGTGATTTTACTTGAGTTAGTGTAAAGAAAAAATAAACTAAGAGTAGAAAAATTTTCTGAACTTTTTATTTTCAGCGTCTGATTAAATGAAAGCTTTGCAATCATGCAGACATGCTACAGTGGAGAAGAGTGTGATGTAACACCAAAGTTTATCCCTCTAAATATGAATATTGAAATGATTTTAAAACTAAAGGCCCTTTTAATAAAGTTTCAGGTGCACTGTTTGAATATGAGTCAGTGATATGACTCTTTAAAAGAAAATACTTGAAATTAATATTTCACTGTGAGGATTAGCTGACAGTGCTAGTACTCTTGTTACCTGCACGCTGTACGGCACTCACCTTTACCGTTTTGTGAGCTCAAGGCGTAACCTGGTAAATTTAGCCCCCCCCCCCCCCACTTTCCAAACCTTCTGTGGGTTTGTGGGGTCTTTTTACCAGTGAAAGATCCTTACACGGTAATATCCTTAACCTCTATTTATTAACAGTTACCAAAATCTTACACTCTTGCTATCTAGTTGCTATAAACAATGCCTTCTGTCTAGCAAATTTGGTTTGCTGTATACATATATATACAGTAGTGCGTTTAAGAATAAATATTTTGCAGTAATTGTTTAAACTCTGCAAAAACATTTGTTCATTTTCTAGCAGATACTGTAAGTGGTGCAAGGATCTATTGTGGCTGCAAGAAGAAACTGAATAGATACCCAAAGCTTAGCTAAAGCTTTGATGTCTGGAATATTCTTCTATTTTAAAATCTGGTAATATGGTAAATGTTTATTGCACTTAGGAAAGTTGAGTGAAAGAGCAGCATCAGACTTCTCAAATATATCTATATTTTAACTTTTCTCATTACTTCTTTGAGCAGGCAGGTGTCCTTTACAGCTGCTGACTCCCTCACTGGATCCAGGTGCAATGTCCTGAGCAAAATAAATGGCAAACTGCTCCATGTTGCTGCTTAATCTCAAAGGAGTTGTTGATAGGTGGTGGTTCCAATACAAGTCCAAGAACATCCAGGCAACTACCTGAATTTAAATGGTGCTGAGAATTTATCTCAACCCTGTTCTTTTGTTTCAAGAGATGGTGACCCAGGCTTCCTTATGAATGGAGGATGTGAAAGATGCTGGATAAAAATCCATAGAGCCCCTGCTCTTTGCATGTGGGTCCCCAGATTCTATTAAGCATGTTCCATGTTTTTTTCTTCGGAATTGGGTTGTGGACCACCACTTCAGTGTGTGAGCTGGAAGTCCGGGAACCATTTCTAATTACAGTACTATTTATTGTGTGTGCGCCCAGGAATTTCAAAATCTATTTTATTTATTCAGATTTGGAAAAATATCTATTGGCACACAATGTATGTCCTGGCTGACTACCCCAGAAATGAAGACAGGCAATGTCATAATATAAAGGACTGTGCTGTTAGGCTTCACTGAGACTTAAACACAAAGAAAATGGGTCAAGAGACTTTTGAGGTCTGGGATCTCCCAGCTCAAGTAAAGGACCAAGTGGACTTTAAAACTTAGAAAGTGAGTATATCATGCATCCGACGAAGTGGGTATTCACCCACGAAAGCTTAAGGTGCCACAGGACTCTTTGCCTCTTTTAAAGTGAGTATAGTTGTCTGTTAGTCTTGATAGGACAGTTTGTAAATAGGGAGCACATGCATCCTCTCTTAATAAAGAAAATGCAAAACAGTGCCCTAGAAACTTTACTCCCTAAAGTTGAGGACGGTCTGTTTTTTTAACACCTGATTTTTTTTTTTTTAACTTTTAGACTTTGGTTTCATCACCTTTGCGATGATTTTATAGTCGG